AAAATGTGAGTTCAGAGGGTTTAGCGTTTACTGGACTCCAAAATAACTGAAACCAGGCCAGAGAGTCATCAGTGTGGCATCATTTCAGTGTAAACAACCAGCTTCAGATGACTTAAGATGCTGCTAACGGCAGCTTTTTGTGTTGCTGCACATCGACTGGCTGCAGAGAAGCAACCAGACACCACGTCACCTTTCACCTGAAAACCGAGTCACGTTCAAGAGCAGCGGGTTAAAACCTCCAATGACTCGCTGCTATTCATTTTTAACTCACTTTTTTTAATCATCCTTTTAATCAAACATCCACAAATCAACTTTTTAAACTTTCTTTCACAGTAATCTGATGATATTTGTCTGTACGTTAAGAGAAGCGGCTGACAGCTAATTGGCTTTTAATGTTTAATTGGAGGATTTTCAGTTCACTGCGGCATAAAACTGAATAAAAGCTCCGTGAATCATCCAGAAACATAACTCAAACGTGTCTTTCGGCGCACCGGGGCGACCCAGGGGCTGCAACCCGACACCGGCTGACCGTCGCCGCCATCAGGTTTCACACACGGCGTTGGATTTCAAACACACGGCCAGCGAGCGGGAGGATTCCTGGTGTCCTGCTTTCCAATAACGCTGGAGTGTTTTCTGTGACGTCGACTGTAACAGAAGCGGCCACGTCTCCTCCGTCCGTCGCCGTTATCGATTTATTAACTCCCGAAGACGTAAACTTTTACTGCCGCCAGGATTCGAGGACAAAAGACTATTTCTATGCTGCGTTCTAGCTTTGAAGCTTGTTTTTCTGTTTGACTCTTTCACTTCATTTCACTCGAAACAAGTGATTTATTTCATGACAAGGAAACTTTTTCACAGAGTTTGACGAGTTAATTAAAGCCTAAGACAACTGTTTCAGGTACTGTCATCTTTTTAGGTTCTTTTTAGGTCCAATAAGGAAAACATCTAAATGCAAACGCAGCGTTCACACGCGTAAGTTAACCTCATGTTGCTGCTAAAGCTGTTAAAAATCAGGCAGTTTGCAGATGAACAACACCAGTTATGAATTATCATATCACTATCAGGAAAACGTGCAAGTGAGAGATTAAAATGTTTAGGTGGAGCGACATGAATGTGAAAAGAACTAATCTTAATGAAACATTCCTCCAGTTCTGGTTGGACATTAAAATGCATGAACACACTTCACATCCTGACATTGTGCTAATATTCTCATATTTAAATTAATAACAAGCCCTTTAAAAATTGTAATAATTCATATTCTATCATTGGTTTTCCTGATGTTTTAGGTTTCTTCTGTGGTGCCGTTTCAGTTTCTATATACTTCATGTCATTTTGATATCAGCACTAACTGATCCTTTGTTTATATCCGCTGTCACACAGGTGTCAGATGTAAAAAAAAATGTCCTTCATAAGCATGCATTATTAATCTGTACTAGATTAATTCGTAGTATCGATTAAGCGTTTACATTTCTACTGTGTTAACACTGCGGCTTTAAAGATGTTTGACACCTGCTACATATGCCATCAGGATGTAGGAACACTTTCACAACATGATTTAATGTTAGTGCGCTAACTGGATGTCACTAGACATCCCAGAATACTTTCTCATGGTGCCTCTTTATGAACTAAACCCCAACGATGCTCTCTAATTACCAACCCTGAAGTGTTTGCCTACTTTGGTCGATACATTATTAAACAGTAGGAGGCTCCACCTGGTGGCGCAACCAGGCACTACAGCTAATCTACGACACTTGAAGTGTGTACTATCCAGATAAATGGTATCCGTAGATGTTTCATAATAAATAACTCAGATCGTGGAAAAAAAACTTCATTATTGCATCGCTGCAGTATTTAGACAGGTATTGCAAAGAAGTCATTATTCTGGTTTCGTGACAATACTAACCTCGATGGGACAGTCATTCCTTATTCAAAATTCAAACATTACTCCATTGGAAATATTCTGATAGATTCATGCTTTCATTTTCATTTTTAAAGGGGTGTTAACTTCTGTTAATGTGAGCAAATCACCACAGCTAGGTTACAAATACTGGTGGAAAGACTGAAACCAGAAGACTAAAGGATGTTTGTGTCCATTGATTTGTTCAACACTCACATATGACTAAAATATTTGGTTGTTACGACCCACAGAAACACAAAAATACTGCAGGTGGAGAAAAACTTTTCTTTTAGCATGACCTTCCTTCAGTTTGTTACTCTTTTCTTTAGTTTCTGTGAACATCGGTAGATGTACGATGTGACTAAAGAAACAGATATAAGAGCTTCAGATTTACCTTTGACCTCCTCGCCCAGCGTGGTGCTCTGCTTCTCCTCCAGCCCTCCAGAACCTCCACGCTCTTGCTGTTGCTCCTCTGAGTCCAAGCCGAGCTCCAGCTCCGCTAACCGGCTGTGTAGCTCCAGATCCAGGCCCAACCCGCCGGGACCCGTCTGGCCCGCAAAAGTTTCTCCAGACAAGAAGCTAGTGTCCGTGACCAGCGGCGAACATGGCGGAGACAACGAGGAGAGCGACGACCGCGGAGATAAAGAGCTCATGGAGCGAGGGGTTTCTGACAGTCTGAGGGCTTGGATTCTGGAAGACCCCGACTCCACCCCAGCATTACCTCCTGGGCCTCCTCCAGCAGAACTTCCAGCGTCTCCTCCTATACCTCCTGCTTTGCCCTCAGGCCTCCCAGCGTCCCTTCCTCCGCAGCCTGTCACCACCTCATGCTCGTGGATGGTGGTGATGGAGCTGGAGGGGCGGTAGCCTCCTTGGCCGCCCTCTTGCAGGAGGCTGTCCAGCTTGTTCTGGAAGTCCGGATCGGCCAGCTCAGGCTGCTCCAGGTAGATGTCGGTGAAGCTGAGGGAGGAGGTGGATCCCAGGCTGGAGGTGGTGGCCAGTGATCCACGGCTGGACGTCAAAGAGCCTCGACTGCTGCCGGACGAACAGGATAAGGTGCTGGCCGAGAGGCTGGAGGGGAGATGGACAGAAAAACACAAGAAGCTATGATCTCAATAGGACATTTTAGGGCGACCCAAACATTTCTGTATGTTCCAACCTTAAATAAGGCCCCTGGAGAACCTCTGTAGGGCTGAAAAAAGTACCAACTCCAAGGTGCTGCTGAGCGGCCCTGAAAACTTGATGTGTGAGTTCAACTAAGCTTGGACAAGACAACAAGCACCATGTCCTCGTCCAGTAACAGTCTTCTCCTCTCCAATATCACTATCAGCGACGCACAATTCAGCACACAGGCTAAAATAACAAACCTCCATTGTTCTATTTCCTACCTGCCCACATAACTGAAGTAACGCCTCGTAACAACTATTTGCCGGATCCAACACCCCAATGAAAACAGAAAGGCAGAGAGGGTAATTCCTGCTACAAGTTCCTGCAATGGCAACCCACCGAATGATACATGAGCAATCTAAAGACAAATATCTACTGCTACGTAACTTCTGTTACCAAGTCCAAGTCCAATCTTCACGTCAACTGGTGCAAAGGTTGGTCAATATTTTATCATCCAACCAAATTGTCATTGGTTGGACCATCACCAGTTTTACTTTCACAGCCTTCCAGGATGAATCCATTGTCTTTGGTGGTAGGACAAACATACTACCTGTGAACAGCCCTGCATTTTCACAACTTTAAACTCACCCTACCTTGGCCAATTTATGGTTTCCTCAAGACCCTTTGTTTGGAGACACACATGCTGCGCTATTCATTTTACAATAGGTAGGCGTAGTACACGGTGGGTCAACACAGCACAAGACATCTGGAGTTATGTGTTTGGGTATTGTCGATGGAAAGCATGTACAAATCAAAATACCTGCAGGGACTACTTAATGTACAACTCTTCCTTTGATGAAGTGTGAATTACAGAGAATCTCCTCTTCCAGCTTTTCTGCGAATTAACCATTTGCCTCGACTACTGTTTGTCTTCTGGTATACATGCAGTTGGCGTGTCTTCAGTGCAAACAGTCCACCAGGCCACAAATTCTAGGCTGCCCTTTGCGAATGTCTTAATGGACTTGGATGGATGACGAAATTTATGTCACGTCTACCTATACGCAGCACTGAAAGAATTAGATGACCTCTAGTGGACACTGCTTGGTCTAACTTATTTAAAGTTTACTGAATGTGTACTCGGAATCAGCTCCAAATTAACCAATACCACGTCAAAGAAGTCACCAGCGTGACCACATTTTGTTTAAACACATGAATAAAAAGTCAAGTGTAAACTGTGTAAACAGCAGTTTGTGTATCACGGCTCAACAACCAACGTGACAGATCATCTAAAAACAGCAGCTAAATTGTCCACGTTATATTCCTCAATAGTTCTTGTGAAGAAATCATATGAATATGTGCAGCTGGTAAGTTTGTTCTTGCCATTTCAATATAAAATGCCCAGGTTGAAATCACTGAATATGCTGTAAATACGAGCTTTTCGTGTTGATTTAGAATTCATTTAGGCTAATGAGACGAACAGTTGTCTCTTTCTAGTCCATCTACAGAAAATGGGCCAATTTTTTCTCCCCTGAACTGATCGATTGCTTGAAGAGTCGATACAATTTCAGTCCATCAAGATTGTCTTAGGTTGAATACAGCCCTACATGTTACCAGGTGCTATTTAAGCTGTCCACTAACCTCTGATTTAAAAAAAAAAAAAAAATCCAACATGGATTCAGTTTACAATGGAAACTATTTCCCAAAGGCCAAAAAAAATTGGCTCCAAAAGATAAATAAAAGGACAGTTAATCTAAAATAAATGCAATTTGAGCTTCAAAACTTGAAGATCAAGACAAGGAAAACCCCACACATCTTGATTACTGGCTGCTGCATTGATTCCTTTTCAAAGCTGAACAATCTATAAACGAATCCTCAGAAGTACTTTGTTGAAAGCTTCATTTACAAGCATCTCTGCAAGTTTTCAAACGTAATTTGTAGCTGCTTTGTTCTGCCGCCGTTCTGTTAGCTGCTCAGTGTAAAATCACATTTAAAAACATCTCCTATCAAAGGAATATCTTATTAAAGGAAACAGAGTGGGTTTGGGAGGAGACGGCTGATGTGTTTTCGATAAAGTTAAAGAAGCTGGAAGCATCACTGCAGGCTTTTTCTCTCTTCCATCTATTCTCTCGACACTTTTATCTGCATTTCTGTCCCACTGACTCAAGATATCAGTACAAAAGAAGGTCTTTAAAATGTCAAATTTGTCTGAATCCACAACAGATTAAATCAGATTCGTCACTGTGTAACAGCTTCTAACCAAACTGACCTGACCTGGAATAAACATATTAAATATTGGAGTAGTTTCAGAAGAAAAGTTGAGTCACTTCCGTCTTCTCTCCTTTCTTTTTTATCACCTCAGCCCTCCTGCAGCTACCTCCTCACACACTTTCCGACTCTGAGCGAGCACGATGAACTAATTAAACCAGGAAGGCTCGTTAGTGCAGACATAAAGGAGTTCCTGTCCTGCAGGGAGACGTTTGATGTCCATCAGCTCGGAGACGAACCAACCCTGTGTAGAGAACTCAAACTCACCTCGGAGGCACAGAGTTCATGTCAATCCTTCAGATCATCACTGCCGGACTTTTAAAACCGAAGGGAAATATTAGACGAGACGTGCGGCTCTTACAGCAGCCTTGCGTCATTTATTAAAAACGTAATTGCTGAGGATGTTGGGAAATGAGCGCTGGGTCGGGCTGGAAAATTGGATTTGCACAGAGATCGTGGCTGAATTTGAGATGTCGAGGAAAACGCGAGTAGCTTTCATCTCCGGCAGATGTTGGTTATTAAAGGTTAAATATTTCAATCAACCTCCTCCTTCGCCTCAGAGCTCTTCTCTCTTTAACCGAGTGCTTCGAATCCTGATGGACAGAAACCTTCTAGGAATCTGATAAACTGAAGCAATGATAAATGTCTGTATAAAAATATGTTTAAAGTCCACCTCATTAAATAAACATTCAACACATAGATCTAGTTCCTCCGAGCTCATTAGCCTCAATATAGTCTCTGTACTTGGATGTAACAGAGTCAAATATCTGATAACTTATTTAAAGGCTTCAAAACTTCACATCTGTAAACAGTCCAAACATAATTTGTTCCTTTTTTATCATTAGCGTTTAAAACTATGTCCAACTTTCTGCCTGTGGTTTGGGCTGATTTCCGAGTGTTTGTTGACAGTAAACGCTAGCAGTCGACCGCTATGGAGTTTTTTGGTTTTATATTAAGAGCAAGAACGAGACAAACGAACCTTTTGAGTTGGGTGTGCAGCGACGTGGCCAGTCGGACCATCTCCTCCAGCTCTCTGACCAGCTTGTTCCTCTTGCAGTGGAGTCGCAGCCTGAAAGCACAAAACAGTTGAATCATTTTCCACAAAAGAAAAACGAAACCTGACAGCAGTATCGGACGCCTTCACATTCAGGAGGATCAAAGGAAGACAATGAACATAATCCTGATGCGATACAACAGCGGCGACGTGTTTGTGTTTGTTGGGAGGATGTGGTCCATTAACAGCTGTTAACATGATCTACTGTTGGAGTGGAAACAGGCCAACGAGAGGAAGTCTTTGATCGGGTTACAGACGGCTGCAGGGGACTCATGTCTTTAGTAATAATAATAACAATAATAATAAGAATACGTGTGTGTGTGTGTTTTCTAAGCTTGTCAGAGTGTATTAAATGCCAAACACATGTCAAAGTAGCTAAAACTGTTCCAAAAGCCGGCGGCAAACATGATGAATCGTGTTTTAGTCGCCGTCGTAACACGAAGACGTCGTCAAAATGCTGCCAGAAACACGTCAGGGGAAACGGTAATGTCTTGTTTAAACTAATATTGTGTTTAACTGGTTTTGGCATTCATGTGCTAATTTCATGATTTTATTAGGTTTCTGCGAACTGCGTAACTCTTGTTCACACGTTTGTTTATGAAGAGTCCATTTGCAAAAACTGAATTTTTGTAGATTTTCAGAAAACTTATTTTTTTGTTGTTTGCTTGAGATAATATGAATCAAACTGAAGCTGAGTGGATCTGACTCAGTAGAAATGACAAAAACAGAGAAAACTTAAGTCTGATTGATATTGTCACAGGTAGACGATGAAAAAAATGGGTTTTCTGAAGGTTTGTGAAGATGGAGTTATCTGTTTTTGCAAATAAATTCTTCATATTTACTCCAGGGGCTGCAAGGTGGATCAGTGGTTAGCACTGTTGCCTCGCAGCAAGAAGGTCGCTGGTTCACGAGCCAGTGAGGACACCCAGGATCTTTCTGCGTGGAGTTTGCATGTTCTCCCCGTGCAGCGTGGGTTCTCTCCGGGTTCTCCAGCTTCCTCCAACACAGTCCA